CTGGATATAACCTAACGGAATATCTTCAGAACGGCTCCAGATGACACTAAACTCAGATGGGTGAGTAGAACATGATGGAATAACGGAAAATCAGGAACCAATGGAAAAAAAACGGCGTTCCCCTTTAAGTGGGAAACACCACGGTAAAAAATATGCACACATGAAAACCCCTAGGGTCAGACCCCCCCCCCCTGTCTCCTAAAATCCTGTAGAAACACGGGACTAAGTTTAATCCTCGTCATGGAGAGAATATATCTGATCCTAAATCAGCTCAGCTGTGTCCATAACCAGAATAATAACTGAAGTTGGTCAGATTTCATCTAAACATCCAGATCAGCGGTCTGGATTATTGATCCTACTGGTTTTAGACTCTGAGCCCTCTGGCGCCCCTGCTGGTCATAAAGTCCTGTGAGGCTGAGGTCGAGCGGTTTGGGTCTGAAGTCTCTGTGTGGCGTTGCAGGATGGCTCCTGAGGTGATCCTGGCCATGGATGAAGGTCAGTACGACGGGAAGGTGGACGTCTGGTCGTTGGGGATCACCTGCATCGAGCTGGGTGAGAGCCGCCGCCGCCGCCGCCATCTGTCCCTCAGCAGGTCCCTGATCTTTAAAGCTCTGTTTTCTCCTCAGCGGAGAGGAAGCCGCCGCTCTTCAACATGAACGCCATGAGTGCCTTATACCAGATCGCCCAGAACGAGAGCCCCGTCCTGCAGTCCAACCACTGGTGAGGAACCTCTGCTCCGCCGGCGCCGCCGCCACAACCTGCCGCTACCAACGCCTCCTCTGTCCCTCCCGCAGGTCTGACTCCTTCCGCAGCTTCGTGGACTCGTGCCTGCAGAAGATCCCTCAGGACCGGCCCACCTCCGACATCCTGCTCAACGTAAGCTCCGCTCTCTGCGTCCTCTGCTGTCTGAGCCGCCGCCCGCCTCATCCGTCTCCTCCCCCCGCAGCATCGCTTCCTGTGCCGCGAGCGTCCGCTGACGGTCATCATGGACCTGATCGCCCGCACCAAGGACGCCGTCAGGGAGCTGGACAACCTGCAGTACCGCAAGATGAAGAAGATCCTGTTCCAGGAAACGCAGCAGAACGGTCCGGTGTCTGAGGGAGGAGAGGACGAGGAGGTGAGCAGAGCACGCATCACGGGGGGTGGGGGATGTCTTCTTTAGCCTCATCCAGCCCGGCCATGATGGAGGACCCGCCAGACGCCTGATGAAGATGATGGCGGTCCATCAGGAGAGGAAGGAGGTCCATCATTCCAGGTTCTCCTTTCTGGAGGTTCACCTGCAGCGTAGCTAGCTATCTCTGATCAACACTGCAGCCTCATCTGGGAGGAGCCTGATGGAGTCTGCCTAGCAACAGAGCAGAGAGACTTCTGATTGGATTCAAACAAGAAAAGTTGAATAAAAATGATCCCTGATCTAGAAGTAGGTCCAGTAGGGAGCAGATGTGGTCTAGAGGGAACTCAGTCCTGCTGATTGAAGATGTTTCTGCCGCCTCAGATGGAGGGTTAGGGTTAGTGAGCTGTTTCTAAGTTAATGCTGCTGCTGACGACGACGATGATGATGATGATGATGATGATGACGATGACGACGGCGGGTCCGGGTGGCATTCCTTCCTTAAGGACTCCATATAAACATGGAACGTCCTCCCTGGATCTAATCTGAAGTCTTAGTCTAGCTGTCGGAGGCAGTCTGTGATTCTGTTTTTGGAGGCGTTGGTCGGTACGGAGGCCCCATCCTGCCACCGTTAGAAACACCTACAGAAATAAAAAACGGAATTATAGAAAACTGCTTGAAAAAGTTCAATGATTTATTTCAACCGTCACAGGAGGGGGCGGCCTCTCGTAACAGATCAGAAACGGAGCGTCTCGCCGGCGCCGCCGTACCTGAGGTCCCGGGTCAGTTTACCTATGGAGGGGAAAAAAAACAAAGAAGTAGAAAATATAGAAAGTGTAAAAAGAAGGAAATAAAAGAGCAGGTAAAAAAACAGAAAGAGGCAGAAATAAATCATTGTTTCAGAAATACAAGGATTTAAAAACCAAATGAGAAGCAATATTTATGGTGAAGAAAAAACATGATTTAAAATGCTGTGGTGTAATTAAATAATGAGATAAAAATAAAAACATCTTTGAAAAATGTTGGTGTGAATAAATATGAAAAAATAAAAAAGGTTGCAGTGGAAATACGGAACAAAAAAAACACACTTGGAATAAATACAGAAAGTGGGTTAAAAATGAGTCAGCATCAAAGCAAGAAGAAAAATAAAAAATAAAAGTGTAAATTGAAATATATATTTTTTGATGAATAATTGATCAATTGAAATATTTTCCTTTTATTATTTTGTAACATTTAAAGTCAAATATTCTTATTATTATTTACTTTTCCAAGCAGTTTTCTAAAATGAAGTGATTTATTTCCGTGGGTGTTTCTAACGGTGGCAGGATGGGGCCTCCGTAGCTCGGATCCCTTTCAAAGATTCAAACTGGTTTTTATTTTTTCTCTGAATGGCTCTGAGCTGAAACTGGGAATACTGGGAATCTTGATCAGATGTAAACTTTATTCTGATGATGGGTGAAGCAGGCCGACCCATTTGACGTCAGGTTCTGAGGCGTTGTTAGCTGTGACCTGTGGCGCCTCTGGCCCTGAAAGGCCCGGGGAAGCCGGCGGCCATGTTTGACGTCAGGCGTTGTTAGCTGTGACCTGTGGCGCCTCGGCCCTGAAAGGCCCGGGGAAGCCGGCGGCCATGTTTGACGTCAGGCGTTGTTAGCTGTGACCTGTGGCGCCTCGGCCCTGAAAGGCCCGGGGAAGCCGGCGGCCATGTTTGACGTCAGGCGTTGTTAGCTGTGACCTGTGGCGCCTCTGGCCCTGAAAGGCCCGGGGAAGCCGGCGGCCATGTTTGACGTCAGGCGTTGTTAGCTGTGACCTGTGGCGCCTCTGGCCCTGAAAGGCCCGGGGAAGCCGGCGGCCATGTTTGAACCAGCGTGTGTTTGTCAGGAGGCGGAGCAGTACCTGCTGCAGAGCGGAACGGTGAACAGCATGGAGAGCTCCCAGTCCGTTCCCAGTATGTCCATCTCAGCCAGCTCCCAGAGCAGCTCCGTCAACAGCCTGGCGGACGCCTCCGACGACAGCAGCAGCGAGATGGCCATCATGCAGGAGGGCGAGAACACGGTGACCTCCAACAGCTCCATCATCCACCGACCCATGGTGAGCAACACCGCCGCACCCGGCCCCCCCCCGGGCCCCCTCCTGGAGGCCCTCAGTGACCCCTCCTCCTCCTTCTCCTCTGCAGGGTCCCGACAACATCTACGACGACCCGTACCAGCCGGAGATGGACCAGCCCCAGGCTCCGTCAGCGGGGCGCCGCCGGGCCTTCTACCGGAACCGGGACCACTTCGCCACCATCCGCACCGCCTCCTTGGTGAGTTCTACGGCACCGGGTCAGAACCGGACTGAGCTTCTGGTGATGGAGGGAAGGACAGCCTGACCTCTGACCCCTCTGACTCCTCCCACAATGGAATCAGAGTAGTGATGATGTCATCAGCAGCCACTTTAAATATTAAATCAATGAATGATTGAAGTGTTGATAGTAAAGAACCAGCAGAACATCACTGATACGGGCCGGGCCTCCCAGTACCAGAGCCCTCCGTACCAGAACCCGGCCTCC